TACCAGGGATCAAACTCGGGCCCTTGTGCTTGCGAGGCAGATGGCAGAACCACTGAGCCAAATCCCCGGCCCTGTTTTTCTCATCTTTGTCAGTACATTGTTATTTTTAAAAAAATCATTGCTGAACTGATTAAACAAAGTGTTCTCTTTTCTCTAGAGCTTTTTGGTGTGTCAACTGAATTTAAATTTTCTTTTTTAATTTTTTTTCTTATTTTTGGTACTAGGGATTGAACTTGGGTCCTCGCACTTACAAGGCGGGCAGTGGCACCACTGAGTTAAATCCCCAGCCCGTGAATTTAAATGTTTGGTTTGCTTTCATAAGTCTTTTCGTTTTCTCATTTCCTTTTTCTTGTTGACTCTGTTGTAGATATTTTTGTTGTTGTACCTCATCTTTTCTAAATGACTATTGCAGGCATTTAAGAATTTTTTGGATTTCTTACAGTGGAAAACAATTATCACATGGTTAAAAAATATAAGACTAAGTTATAAAATGAAGTAAGCTTCCCTCGACACAAGTCCCCTCCCCTCTCCAGAGGCAACCCGTCAGCAGTCCTTCATGCTCACTGAGAAGTCTGTGTAGATCAGCGTTGCATGTTACATATGTGCCTATGTGTGTGTGCATAGTTACACATGTATAAAACACACTGGAGCTCACTATACATAATCTAAATTTTGTGATTTTTTTAAACTATTCTTGATTGTTTTCATTTACTATTTCCCAAAGATACTTCCTTAGATCTACGTCACTCTTTTCACTAGAAACAGTAACTTGTGATATTAATGTAATTTCTTACCTTCAAGCTTTGCAGTGGTTCTGTGTCCTTTGCTGTTATAAATTGTCATGCAGTAAATTGCTTTGATTTGAATTTGTGCATAAACTCAAGACTGCCTATAGAAGATATAACTAGTAAAAGGATATGTGTATCAAAATCTGTGCGTGTGTTAGATTTTTTTTGATGTTTTATTTTTCTTGATCAGAATGCCTCTTGTGCTTGATTGTCTTCGTGGCAGTCATATGGGGTGTGGGGGCATGAGGTTTTCTATGGTGGAATCTCCCTCCAGGAGTGGTTTTTGTTTGCTTGTACCAGATCCTGGAAGTTTAGACAGGACCACGTTACTCCAGGTTCAAAGCTTGAGGTTTCCATTCAGGTGATGTACAATCAGATTAAAAGATTTATTTCTGGATGATACTTTCCCTGCAAGGTCAGTGTTTCCGGTTCCAGCTTAACATGCGTATCGGGAGTGTCAGGCTCTCCTCAGCAGGCAGATGGGCAGTTCCTCGGGCTTGTTTATTATTCCAGCAGCCAGGCTGCCAGACCTAGAGGTCTGGGTCCCTGCTGTCTCTTCCAGATGAGCAAGTGCTCACCCTCGCTCACCGCTGTATTCTCCTAGACATGAATATCTTGATTTCATAATTTTTACTAATTGACTTTTAATTAACTTCTGTTGTGCAACAAATTATACCTAAAACTTGGTTCTTTAAAACAGCGAACACTACAGTGGACCCTTAAGTTATGATCACTCTGACAGACAACTGAGGTTATGACCAGAAGTGTAGTTTTAGTTTATGACCACAGTCTTGAGTTGGGACCTGAATGCTGGCCACTTGCGCTTCCAGATGGTCTCAGATACAGATTTAACCCATAAAGGGTTCCAGAAGGAACATTACACCATCCTTTCCTGTGTGGGTTGAAAAATCCTGGGCCAGTGTCTCTCTAAGGACACTGAGATCTGCCTGTGTGCAGGGGAGAGACTTTGAAGGCTGTGTAGAGGAACCTCCGAGCCTTCCCCAGCATCTGCAGGTCAGGAATTACAGGCACAGGTTATCAGGCAGCCCTGGTTCTGACCTCTGGTTGCATCCAGCTTCTTCGGGTGCAGTCCAGTCTGAAGGCTGCCGGCAGCCCAGGCACCTGCTCCAGCCCTTTCCCTCACAGGTTGCTTCATGAGGCCACTTGGGTACTCGAGTGAGCAAGAGACCCACAGACAGAGGCCTCAGAACTTTTGCAAGGTGATCTTGGAAGAAATATTTCTTCATACCTGGCCATGTTGTTTGTTAGAAGTGACTCTCTTACTTCAGACCTAGGTGTTGTTTTTTGAGACAGGGTCTGGCAATGTAGTTCCGACTGACCTTGAACTCACTATGCGGCCCTGGCTGGCCTAGAACTTGTGACAATCCTTCTGCTCAGCTTCGTGAGAGCTAGGATTACAAGTGTGTGCCAGCACACTCTGCCATACTTTTAAATTTTGATACAGCATCTTGCTAGGTCAAGACCAGCCTGGACTATGTAACAGGACCCTGTTTAAAAAAATTTTTTTTGTTTTAATAATGTTCTGTTTTTTCGTTTTAATAAAGACCTTGGGTTCAATACCCAGTGCAAAAGAATAAAAAGAAAAACAGCAACTATAGTGTATATTCTTCTAGGACTTCCTTTTATAATGATTCAATATTCAGTCAGTTTTACTTAATAAAGTTTTATTCTTAGGCATATTTTATAATCTACTGTCCTCTAAAACCATATATTCAATACTATATCAAATTTGTTTTCCTGTCGGTAGATGTGTGTGGTTTGCAATTTTTATTTATGTATTTTTTGGTGTTTTGAGACAGGGTCTCACTGTTTACCTCAGGCTGGCCTTGAACTCATGGCCATCGTCCTGCCTCAGCCTCCTGGGTGCTGGGTATATACCACCATGCCCAGCTGCAGTTATTTCTATTTCTTAAAAATGATGCTAACAGACTCGCTGTGTCTCTGGTTCATGTGTGTAACTTTCTCCATGGTGGATATTTAGAAGGGGAATTGCTGAGTCACTGTTACATGCTTATTTGAATATAGGAAATAGTGAAAAAGTTTCCTCTAAAATGTCCCCATTGATACTCCCACTAAGACCATGTAAGAGTGCTTATTACTGTGCATCTCTTACAATGATTAATGTCAGAATTGGAGCATTTTTACTATTTCACAATTAGAACATAGTATTGATTTTCCTGTTTAGTAATGAAATTGGGCATTCTGTCATATGTCTCTTTTGTTCCCCCAATCCTTGGAAGGCCATGTTTGTTTTACTGTGCTGGGACCTGAACCCAGGGCCTCTCACATGCTAGGCAAGCCCTCTACCACCAGCTGCACCCCAGCAGTTTTTCAGACTTGTTTTGAGAGAGTCTTGCTGAGTTGCCTAGCAGCCAGAGCAGACCCCTCTGCTCTCGGAGAAGTAGGAAGGTATTCTCCCCACCCTGCCTGGGTACCTGCGGTCCTCCTCATCTCAGGCTTGCCCAAATTCTCCTACAGGCTAGAAAGGTCCCCCCTGTGGTCAAGGCAGGAAATACTAGGCATCCTGTTCTCACGTTGGGCACCAAATTTGGGTGTCAGGTTTCACGGTGCCCAACTCCAGGGCGGATGCAGGGTGGCAGTGACAGCAGCTGTGCTTCTGGTCCTAAGCAGGAATTTCTGGTTTGGGTGTGAGTCTGTGTGAATGGCTGACCTGAAATAGTGCCACGGGGCTCAGGCTAGGCCAGGCACGTCGTAAGTGGGTCAGTTCAGTGGGGAGGATGTTGTCCAGCATGAGGTGCCCCTGTACCTGTGAGGGCCTGGCACTGCCACCAGCGTCCATTTTCATTCTCTGCCAGCTGATCCTGGCTGCTTAATTCTCTATGACCGGAGAAGCAGTGCAGCGCGGCAGGAAGGGGCCGATGCAACAGTGCTTCCTGGCCATGGAGACCAGATGGGTCTGCTTCAATCTCTCTCCTTTTTTTTTTTTGCCATTTTGGTCCCCAAGTTTGAACTCTTAGGTATCCCCCTTTTCCTGTTCTCCCATACCTATTCAATCACATACCCGTTTCTTTTACTGATTCCTTCCTCTTCCTCTTCAGTTTTTCACATGCTAACCCTGTCCTGGCACCCAGCTGTCCGCCTCAGTCTCTGTGGTCATTGACCCAGTAAATACACCACAAATCCTCCACGTGTGGTCCCTGGGCCAGTACCTTATCACTTAGGAACTTGTTAGCTTTGCAGACTCTGATTTCATCTGAGGCCTCCTGAATCAGAAACTGCAAGGGGATGACATTTCTCTTCAGGGCAGGTCACCCCAGTCGGCAGTGAGTAGGACCCAGGGTGTAAGGCAGGGCAGGTGAGTAGAAATCCAGGGAGGCAAAGATTAAAAAAAAAAAAAAAAATCCTTTCATTCTGTCTGGTTCTGTGAGCTGACTGATTTTGAACTTTTGCAACCACAAGGAGTCAGGGACTTGTTTTCTTCCTCAATCATACACTGCAGAAATCCCTAAGCGTGCACTCTGCTCTTGGGGTTGTATCATTCAGGCCTTGTGTCACTTTGTAGATGGAGGAACTAAGCTCAGAAAATTGAACCAGCTGTTCAAGAATCCATTGTCGAGACCAGCTCAGACTCAGCCATCCTATGCCTCTTCTTTTTTTTAGAGACATCTTAGAGTTTCAAAAATATAACCATATTAATATTTTAGGGTCTTGGGCCAGGGATTTAGCTCAGTGGTTCCACCGCCCACCTCATAAGCACATCTCCAGTACCAAAAAAAAAATTTTTTTTTTTAGGGTCTTGCTATGTAGCCTAGTCTGGTCTCAAGCTTGTGGGCCTCCTGCCTTTGTCTCCCAAGTGCTGGGATTACAGGTGTGTACTGTGCTTATGTATCTTTATTCTAAATAAAAACAAGAATAACTAATACCTGACTTCATGTCAAATCTTCAGAAGTGATGCCTATCCCTAAAAAATTAATAACTAAGATGAGTGGAGATGATAATGTTATGTACCTATTACAGTGACAGATAAATATCTGTTCTTGTCGTTTTTGGATAGTGTACTTGGACCCTAAATCTATAAATTCGGCTATTTCCCTTGTTTCATCAATCAAGAGCATTGGCTTTGGCGTTATTTGGGTCAGAATTTGAATCCTGGTTCTGTCAAACCCTAATTTTACTTGTAATTGATTAATATTTAGTATTACTAAGTATGTTCTTAATGACGTGTTTCTCTCTAAGCCTGGGTTTCTTTACTTACAAAGTGGTATTGTTAACACCCTGTACCATTTGCTGGAGGAATAAATGTAATGATGTTGAAAAGTGCTGAGCACAAGGCCAGACATTGAACAAGTGTGCACTGAACCACTCTCCACCTCAGTTACTCCCCAGTTACAGATGAAGTCCTTATACCCAACTCATGGGGTCACTGTAAGGAATGAACGAGCTAGTGCCTGGCACAGCGTACTCGGTAAACGTTCGCTATCATTATGTATTTCTTAGCTGGGCGTGGGGGCGCACGCCTGTAATCCCAGCACTCGGGAGGCTGAGGCAGGGAGATCCTGTGAGTTCAAGTCCAGCCTGGGCTACAAAGTGATTTCCAGGTCAGTCTCAACCAAATAGTGAGAGCCTGTTTCAAACAAAAAACAAACAAAAAAAAAACATTATGTATTTCTTCCTGTACTTATTGGCTTTGAGATTTTTCTGATTTTGAAGAAATGATCCTTTCTTGCTAGCAAGGCTGGATTTAAAAAACTCTCCTTTTTTATCTGTCCAGTTCTATGTTTGTCTTTCACCCTTCCTTTCTCTGGGAAAGGGAAGGGGTTTAAGGACCAATCCCAGGGCCTCCACATGCACATTACCACTGAAATATACCTTGAGCCCCCATCCTACGTTTCTGCTTCTTAAGGTTGGAAGAGCTCATTACTCATTGGTCAGAAAACAACCACTTAGGCATGAAAGAAATTGCCAAAAGTCCAGGAACACAAAGAATGCTGACTGTGTTAGATGTTTACAGCAATTAGGAAAACGGAGTAAACAACCAGAGAAAATTTTAAAGACTATTTTAAAAATAAGTTAATAATGGTTGGGACAGACCAGAAATGCAGTTAAAATCCTTTGACATCGACTATTTTCCAGGCACGGAATGGAAATAATGTAGCATCTTTCCGTTAGGCCAAGATGAATTAATTATTTTATTCCTTCCTTTTTTCCTTCTGGATTTCCTCTAGAGATTCCCTTCTCGGTTCGCGACCTGTGGACCCCATCTTGTCCCCAGCAGTGCTTTAGGTGAGTACAGTCTAGCCAAGGATTGCCCCTCCCGGACACGTGTAATAGCTTTCTGCATAACAGGGTGCACAGATGCAACCGCCTCACTGTCTCCCCAGCAGCACTTCCCCTGGCTCCGCAGGGGGGCCTGTGGCTCAGAGAAGAGTGGCTCTGACCTGATTGCCTAAACCCATTGCAGTGCTCTTGTCCTGCTGGTGGCTAGATTAGACATCGGCACCTGTCTTAATTCTGGCAAATAAAACATGAAGGGAAGTCTGCTGGAGGACTCTAGGAATTATCTCCTTGTTCTTGCAGATAAATTTATGGAAAGAAGCAGTCCTGTTCTACTGGACGTGGTTATGTCTACATTTGGTAGGAACTGCAGGAGCTTTCCTTCAAATAGGAGTAGAAAGGCAGAGGTTATGAAAACCAGGGTCTGTTCGATGCAGTAGAGCATGAGGTCAGCCAGTCCTGAAGCCACTGACTTTAGGAGTTCTTGGTATATGACACAGTAAGTGTTCCTTGTTGTTTAAACCCAGTTGAATTGTTTTATCTTATGTATAGTTAGATATACCTCAATAATATATGAGCCTTTGTTCAGCATAGACAAAGACTTTTTTTTTCTAGGTCTCATAATTTCAAGGTCTACCCCCTGTAAATCCATGCAGAAAACACCAGCCCAGCAATGATTATTGTCTCCCCTGAACTCCCAATTCCATTATGGACTCAGTTTGATCTCTATCTTGTCTTATACATACAAGAGCCTAAAATAAGTCTTAATTGGTCTCAACGTCTAGCACATTACTGAGAAATTTGAACACTTGAACGTATCTTCTGTGCTGCTGAGGGTGCAAAGAGAAGTTTTGGCCTTGCCAGTGTGTGCACTGATTATACTCAGTTGCGTGATGGGCAGTATGATAATGTAAAGAATACAGATACGGAGGCTGACAAACCAGAATTTAACTCCAAGTTCCATCTTTACTAACAATAAGTTTCAGGCAAATTGGCTAAACCTTTCTGTTTTCTTTTGTGTAAAATATAGTTAATAAAACCTTGTAGTGTTTCTAGAGGATTAAAGGGAACGCTGAGTATAAAATGCCCAGGACACAGTGTGCACTCTATAACATCCTGTGTAATAGCTGTCTACCTAGTGGGGTATACACCTTTCCCTTTATTTGTTTGTCAAGAAGACAGTCAGCAGTGGGCAGCGAAGGTGGAGGGTCTGAGCAGAACTGAAAGATATTTGGACACGATCTTCGTAATATCTCATTGTACAGACAACACAGAGACCCTGAAATGTGCTGAGTGTTTCCAAAGTCCCACTGCTCCTTGTTGTGTTTTAATGGACACAGGAGCTTCTTGCCCCAGAAGGTGGTTCTAATGATCGAGATCAGTCTGTTCTCCAGCTTCATCCCTCCTACCTACACTGACACTTGGGTCAGGAGACAAAGGAGGAGTCAGGGGAAACAGTTCCAAGACCAGGCCAAGTGGAATTGGGTAAGAGAGTACCTGCCAAGGGATCTGACAAGGTTGCTGCCATCCTTCCTGAGAGAAAATGTGTGAAAATCGGAAATGTGAACTACTAACCACAGCAGCGTTCGGAGCGAGATCATTTCCATTAGAATTCAGATACTTTCATAGGTATTAGCTCACAAATTCAGTTAATCTTAGTTTCCTATCTAAGTGTGGCTTTGTTCTCATGGTTTCTCCTTGCTAAATTTAAAAAAAA